TCCAACCTACTAGCGATGGTCTCCAACCTACTAGCGATGGCCTCCAAACTACTAGCGATGGTCTCTCCAACCTAAGAACAGAAAAACGACAAAGCCTCAGCAACAAGAAGCCGGCGCATCCACGCCTGCACATGGACAGCAACAACACCACAGTTTTTGCCCCTGGGGAAAGGTGCAGAAGAGAAACAGTGTGCACTACGACAACTTATGGGCGTCAAAGGACAAAGTCTTGCCTTAAAAGGAGAAAGGAATCCTTTGAAGTTGTGCCCGGAACAAACCCAAAGCAACCTAGTGGTCAATCCGATAAGGTCCTTTTGGGTTATTGGGCTAGTGGGCGTTGCTTGGCGAAGCTCTGTGGATTGAACATAGGATGCAACATGTTTTTGCTAACTCAATGATGAAAAGCAAAGATTTGTTCAATTGGTCAAAGAATTAAAAGAATTACAAGAATTACAAGCGTGCAAAATTCCTTTCTGTTGTGTCTGCTATTCTCTTCATTCATTCTTCCTGGCCTCTATGCGACCAACCTCGCACTTGACCCAGGAGTTCAATAGCGATGCACCTGGCAGCACCGTTGCGAAACAATGGAAATGCAAGGTGTTCCAAAGAATCCTTTGCTCCCTCTGTTGATCAATTTTTCAAGGGCGCCTTGCTCTCACAACTTTGTTTGGCAAGGCTTCAAGGCGTTTGCAAAGAGACTCGGAAAGGAAACACCAAGGTAGTGGGGCCTGAAAAGTGTGACTGTGCAAGTACACCAACAAATGTCCCCCTTAGACGTGGCAGGTGTTTAAAGTCCAAAGAAAGAAGAGAAGGAACGAAAAGGAACGAAGTCTAAAGGGCCTTTCGCTACTAGTAGCTCCTGGCCATACTACTAGGAACAAGAAGCTACTAGGGGCTCCCGGCATCGCTACTAGGAGCAAGGACGCTACTAATTTGGGGCTCCTGGCCTTACTATTAGGAGCGTTTTCCTAGGTCTTTAGAATCCAAAAATGATCTGGTTGAGTTGAATTCACTTGGTAGTCCGTAGGTTCTTTCCGATTCTCTCCCCCGTGTGGAAGTGGTACCTTCTTGTCTGCTCTTGTTGTGGTGATACCACGCACGTCGAAACCCGAAGTGGTGAAGTGCTACACGCTATCAGGTACTGGGCTGGAGGCCATCGCTCGTAGGTTCCAAAAAGAACTTGTGTTCTTACGCGGCGACTCATGGTCCAAGTCCATACCCCCACATTTGTTGGCTTCCCTGGGTATGCACGAATACATTCAACGGTATAGGGGAGATCAAGCAAATCACGTAAAACCCCGTGATACTGTACACCAGAAACAATCCTATGTGAGACACATGCATTGAATTTGCACATTCAAGGTATGTTGGGAGGTAAGCGAATAGCATTCACTGGCATTATACGCTCTATTGCATGGTACATTCGCGAGTTATATACTAACTGGCTTTTCACCAGTAAGATCACAATAGATTGTGACCCGCGCTGGCATGGATTCAATCTGCACAATGCCATCAGCAGAAATTGGTGCATTGGCATGCATTCGTTTTTTGCTGTGATCTTGTGGATTTGGAAGTGCGAGTTGCGACGGGGCGCCGAGTTTCAAGCTGTCACTCAGCTGGCGCAGGTCTGACAGGGTGTGCTACTCAGGCTACTGCTGTGACAGAGTGTTGCAGTAGCCACTGCTGGTCAAACAAAAGTCCAACCCGCAAAGGGTTGGGACCGTGCCGGTTGCTCACTAAGATGCCCCTTGTGCCACTACGACTGTGCTGCATAATATGTGATCACATGTTCCTCTCGCCCATTCTTACCGTTACAAAAACTTGAGCTAAGACTTAAGAACAAAAGTGATGGATATGTTGGGCATCAAACTTGGGCATGGCAAAAGCGAACAAGTTTGACAAATCTGTGCCTGGAATGCAGTGCGGAGACAAATCTCATCACAAATGTCGTTTTGAGACTTGTCTCAGGCAGGCACCAACGGAACTGTCCAGCCCGACTCCTTGCTTTAGCCTGGAGAAGCGTTGAAAACACAAACAATGCACCAAAACCAGAACTATTGAGGTGGCGGCATGGTCAAGACGCATTTCTCAGCTTCCTGACCTTGGCGAAATCGAGCAACTTTAGATTGATTCAAACAAAGAAAGCTTTATAGGCGTCTGTGGGGCACTGAGATTGCAGCCATTCTGAGAGCGAGCATATGCATCAATCAAAGAAGTAAAAGCTGTTGAGCATGGCATCAATTTCAAGTCTGTACCAAGCTGAAAGTACTCGCGTGCTTTTGATGGATTGGTGGATTTTGCACATGCGATCAGCAAAGCGTTCCATTCATATTGTCCAAAGTGCTTGGATGTTTGCACACATAGAGCAACCTTTCGAAGGTCTCCCAAATTTGCCCAAGCCATTAGTGAAGCAATATGTCCTGCATCCATGCTATCAATGTTGTCTCTACCACGTTGACATTCTTCGCCGCTTGCAAGTCTTTCAGTTTTCTTGATGGTCTGCGCTTCGTCCTTCTTCACTTTAGCAATGTTGGCTTCAACGACAACTTCTTCATCTCCTCTTTTCACTGTTTCTCGATTGTGCTTTTCCTTTTGCTCCAGTCCACACCTTCTCTTCCATTCAAACTCGTCCAAGTGCTTTAATTCTCCTTTCCCTTCTCTTCTTGACTCAGAAACCTTCTGTGTTATTGAACTGGTTGCATCTTTTTGTGCTTTTAAAGCGTCTTGGACGAAATGTTCATCTTTGCTTTCTTTGTTGCTTTCTTTCAGCAGTCGCAGCCTCTGGAGCCAGGCCTCAGAACGGTGAGCGTCACCAGCTTTCGCAAAAGCATCCACCACTGAGATCAACTGTGGCTCACTCAGAGATGTGGACGAAAAGAAAGATGAGCTCGGCGGTCTCGATCTTTGGCTAAAGGCGTTTTCTGCTTGTTTCGCTTCGAGTTGAATGTGCGCATCCTTCAGAAGCTTCTCTTCCTTCTCTTCCTCAGGGGACCCTTCATGTCCCAAATCACGCTATTTCTTCAAGGAAGCTCCCACCGCCCTCAGGCAGGAACTTGCTTGAAGAAGCCAGAGCTTTCCGGTGCCCCTCTAGCAGCTACTTTGTGACAATAGATAGTCGTTAGGCAATAGCATCAAACCTCTTCTGGCAGCCTACCCGGCCTACCCTCCCAAAATGAACGAAAGAAGGGTCCTTTGGAAGGTCCATTCTCCTCAGCTCCTCAACTTCATTGAACTGACGCCAAAGCCATGCTTCAGCCACATGAGCTTCTCCAGCCTTCGCTGCGGATTTCACCAGCTTTCCAAACGTCTTCGTATTCACCGAAAGGAGATCTGAAGAGCTTCTTGCAGCCTTTTGGTTTTTGTATGAGTCATACCAAGCCTCAGCACCCTTGAAATCTCCTGCATTGGCAAAGGCTTTTAGTACCAGATTGAAGAGAAAACGAGGTTTTGGAGCTTTTGGGTCTGGCTTCGAGAGATTGCGAATTCGTTGTTCAAGAAGAGGTTCAATGATCCTCTTGACCTGAGCAACATCACCTCCTTCAGCAAATTGGTTGGCCACCTCCAGCGCTTTTGCAAACCGCATGCAACGCTTCTCTCATCGCACATAGGGAAGCACAAAGAGACGCGGCGGAGTATCGAAACACAAAAGCATGTACCCCTCGCATGTTTGCTTAGCCTGGCTATGCCAGATTGTGCTACGCTCTTGCAATCATTCCACAGTATTTCTCTAAAAAAATGGAATCTTGAAAAGCAACAACCGCCGCATGTGATCCACTGTCGCAAGCTTGATTGGGCGCCCTTGATCGATAAGTCTCTGCATGTCCGAAAGTCAGCACGCTAGAGACAGTCGGACAGTCAGTACTCCGACTTGACTTCGTCGGATACTTCAAAGGCACAAAGCGCATTGAAAGTGTTTTTAAAAGTGTAAAGCATCCAGACCTACTAGCGATGGCCTCCAACCTAGCAATGGCCTCCACCGCTTGAAAGTCTTTTTAAGCACATCGAGAAAAAGGCCTTTTTGACAAGTCTTTCGACAAAGGTCCTTTGGCGATCTAGCTTCTCAGGAAGGCCCATAGCAATGTGCACATACTCCAGAAGGCTACATGAGCACCTGGCGCACCACATGTCTTGCACGTCTTTCCTTTTAGTCGTTGTTGGTCGTTGGCGCCTCTGGCACTGCTCTTTGTTTCAAGAACCTGAGACAACTGGAATGATCGAAGAAACCGCCAAGGGAAAAATTGTGGCTAAAGTGCTAAGAAAACGGAAGTGAATGAGAAAGCCTATTAGGAGCAAGGACGCTACTAGGGGCTCCTGGCCATACTACTAGGAGCAATGTTCGCTACTAGGGGCTCCTGGCATCGCTACTAGGAGCAAGAAGCTACTAGGGGCTCCCGAGGGGAGCTTTTCCTCCACCCCTCAGGGGCGGGGAGCTTTCTTCAAGAAACTGCCATCTGCGATGTTTGCATAAGCAGTAGTAGTAGCAGCAGCAGCAGCGGTGGTGGTTTCTTGTCGCTACCACTTAGCTATCACGACTTGACTTTCTACCTTACTACTAGCTTAACTACTGGCTTCCTTCACGCCAAACATCCTTCAAAAGCAAACCTTACGTGTGTTCCACTTGAAGTGTGGCGTTAGTTATCATGACCTCACACCCGGAAAAAACAAAAACACATACATCCCAAACAAGGAAGAAATTACTGCGCAAATACAACCACCAGCGACTCAAATGTTCTTCAATTGAAAACGAAGCCGGACAAGGACTGGAAAAAATCAAATCACTCCCATCTGAAGCCTCGCCGGTGGCATCGGCAGTGGAGGCACTGGTGGCAGTAGAGGCACTGGTGGCAGCTGCAGTGGAATCACTTTGGGCAGTTGCAGCAGTTGCTGACATCACTGCGGACTTTGACTCCTTTCAAAAGCAAATCCAATTGGAAGTCTAATCAAAGCAGGTCTACACAACTATAGGTGGGGGGGGCTCCTGAACAGCAGCCGCCATGCTCACCTCAAGACTAACGAACACACTACCACCTCAAGACTTGCAGCGTGCTCAAGAAGCCAAACATTGCTTTGTGTCTCCAGCTTCTCGCAAATGATTTCGACACCAAAAAACGTCGAGGCAGTTGCAGTTGCTTGCGCTGCTTGCTGCGGGCTTTCCACCACAACTTCACTGCCTGCACATGTTCTGATTACTTTGAATCCGCACAGAGGGTAGGAGCAAGAACGCTACTAGGGGCTCCTGGCGTCGCTGCTAGGAACAAGAATGCTACTAGTAGCAAATGGCCTTACTACTAGGAACAAGAAGCTACTAGTAACAAGTGCATCGCTACTAGGAGCAAGGACGCTACGAGGGGCTCCTGGCCTTACTACTAGGAACAAGAAGCTATTAGAAGAATCCGCACATGTCAACCGACGCAAGAAACGAATCCACGCACATGTACAAAACAGAGGGTGTGTTTCAATGGTTCACCTGGAAACCCGCGCCCGTTTTCACGTGAAGTCAAGTAGGACAAATTGATCACTACAAGATGGTACAGTTTTTGAAAACAGGTCCAAAAGGAAATGATGCAATACAATGACCCCGACCCCACCCATCCTTTGTCTAAGCTTTGTGACCCTTGCTTTCCAGACATGGGTGGTAAACGAAAGGCTCGATTTGACCTATACGAAAGTGTAGTGGGCGGGGTGAACTCGAGTTCCATGACTTCAACGGGAACCCCACCAAGGTATCCCTGTTAGGGACTAATTACTGGACACACCGCTGCCAAACCAGGCTGGGCTTGGGCCAACACTTGAGCCAACATGTAGTGACCATACAAGCGTTGGCCCTTCTAAGAAGCTATTAGGAACAAGTGCCACGCTAGTAGTAACAGGTGCCTTACTAGTAGTAACAAGAAGCTATATGTTGCGAAATGTTCTTTTCTCCACCCATCCCATCCCCCCGAATATCTCTCTCACCCTTGCTAACAGGAGGTGGCAACAGGACTTGAATTGGCCTCCACACCTAGAAGCGATGGCCTCCAACCTAAAGAATTTAAGAAACACCCATTTAATGTTCATTATAACTTAATTCTAATTGCAATGGCCTCCACCTAATAGCGATGGCCTCCAACCTACGTTCGCAAGGGCTCTGAGTTTTCTCACACAAAGCACTTCTTACATTGTTGGATAATGTCTTCGCTAACGTGCCCGTCGCCGTACACAGGCTTTCAGCAAACCTGACTGCTATGGTCACCCACAAGTTGTGACCTGTTTGGGGTGCACTGTTACTAGAAGCGATGCACTTGTGCCTAGTAGCTTCTTGTTACTACTAGTAAAGCACCTGTTACTACTAGCGTGGCACTTGTTCCTAGTAGCTTCTTAAACTACATGGACACTGTTTTGTGTCTGAGGCATCGGTCTTCAGTCCCTGTTGCTTCACACCTTCGTCCGTAACGCGCGCCATCGTTGTACGCGCCAAGGACGCTACTAGTAGCTCCGGGCATCGCTACTAGGAGCAAGGACGCTACGAGGGCCTCCTGGCCTTACTACTAGAAACAAGGACGCAGCCCCATGTTGCACTTGATGAATGGCCACTTTGTTGCGAATGTAGGCCCCCGTCAGGCCAGACCCTCTCAGCTACACCGGTGAGCCGGTGAGAGAACCCAACTCGGCAGTTGGAAATAAGGACCTTGCCGGCTCCTGGCCTTACTAGTAGTAACAAGAAGCTACTAGAAACAAAGGGCATCGCTACTAGGAGCAAGAAGTTATTAGGTTGGAGGCCATCGCTACAAGAAACTGTCAGCACCCACAAGACTTGGAGCGTGCAAGAGCTGCGACAACGCCCAACGGTGCACCAATGCCAGAAAGCAATCCAGTCAGAAATGCCAGGAGCACATATGCCATTGTATTGACCATGTAAGTGCTGACCCTCCTATGTGTTGCTTTAGATTTCTGTCCACCATTTTGACGGTGCCATAAAAAGAATGGAAGAGAAAAGGAAAGAGTTGAAACCACTTTATGTTGAGCAATAAGCTACTAGTAGCAAGGACACTACTAGGGGCTTACTACTAGGAACAAGAAGCCACTAGTAACAAGTGCATCGCTACTAGGAACAAGTGCCTTACTAGTAGTAACAAGAAGCTGCTAGGAACAAAGGGCATCGCTTCTAGTAACAAGAAGCAGCGTCTACGTCGGGTCGACGTTTAGCAGCCTGGCGTTGCTGCAACCTTCCCGTCTGTGACGTCGGAAGGAGTCGCATCCTTCCCAAGCAGAAAAGACTCGAAGCTACTAGGAACAAGTGCCACGCTAGTAGTAACAGGTGCTTTACTAGTAGTAACAAGAAGCTACTAATTGTTATTACTAAGTAAGAATACTCCTAGTAGCGTTCTGGTTCCTAGTAGCGATGCCCTTTGCTCCTAGCAAAAGGAACCTACTAGCGATGGCCTCCAACCTAAATAGCGATGGCCAAAAAAGCAAAGTGCCAAGCCCCTGCATCCGCTTCGGGCCTCAATTGAGGTCTTGTGAAGCTTCACATCAACCTGCAATGGGAAGGAATGAAAGAAAGATTTACGTCCACATCCCAATTCATCGCTACACAAGCCGCTTCCAAAACGAGCCTGCTGCTCGGTGCCATTTGCACCTCTCAGCAGTACTGGCTAAATCTAAGTGATGGTTAGGTAGGTTGGTGAAAGAAATGTTACAGGCTACCATTGCAGACCTTTTTACAGTATGACTGGACAATTCTAAATAACTAGGTTGGAGGCCATCGCTAGTAGGTTCCTTTTGCTACTAGGAGCAAAGGGCATCGCTACTAGGAGCAAGGACGCTACTAGGGGCTCCTGGCCGTACTACTAGGAACAAGAAGCTACTAGGAAGAAAGGTCTTCGGTTGGCCACCGTTTTGGCATGGGCAAATTGTTCGCGACCAAAGGTGCGACGTGAAAGCTTATGAATCTGCGAAAACTGGGCGGCACGGCCGGCACGGCTATCATCATTCACTGGCCTTAGAATTCAAAAATATTGTTTCTACTAGCTTCTTGTTCCTACTAGTAAGGCACTTGCTACTAGAAGCGATGCACTTGTTCCTAGTAGCGTCCTTGCCCCCGCAACTTCAAACGTGCAAGAAAGTGTTTGTTAGGTGCAATTGTGACTGGTGTCTGTCACTACTAGGGAGGCCATCGCTAGTAGGTTGGCAGCCATCGCTAGGTGTTGTTTGTCAGGTATTGTCACTGGTGTTTTGGCGTCTCAAACTTAGCACCTGACAGAGTTGTTACACTCAAGCTGGCAGCTCTGACAGTAAAGTTCAGGCCTCGTAAAGCAATCGCGAACAAAGGTATTTCTTTGTCCTCGAGTTTTCTGCGTTGGTTTTCTTTCACCTACTAGGAACAATGTTCGCTACTAGGGGCTCCTGGACTTACTACTAGGAGCAAGGACGCTACTAGGAGCAAAGGGCATCGCTACTAGGAACCAGAACACTACGTTCGGGGCTCCTTCTTTTATATTAAAACTCAACAAATGTGTCCGGTACTTTCACTCTGAGGTCCCTGAGCTGAGCACCAGCAGCTTCCAATTGTGAACGGATCTGTTTGTGCATGTTTGATTTGTGAAACTCTTGGGTAGCTGTTTGTTAAATTCTGCTCCATCGTCTCATGTGTTTTGTCTTTTCTATTCTTTTGAAGCCTCGCTCGTAACTGTGTTGATGTCCAGTTTCGAGATTCTTTGCGCAATGCCTTGGCCAGAATAGGTTGGCAACCAGGAAATTGGTTTTCTTCAGTGGCAGTTCCAGGAAACCGGCTCGAAGCGGAACTCGAACTGGAATCCAAACCCTGGGCGGTGTGGGCACTCAAGTCTACTCTCTTCCATGTTTGCATTGCCCTTTGCTCCTAGTAGTTTCTTGTTCCTAGTAGTAAGGCCAGGAGCCCCTAGTAGCGTCCTTGCTCCTAGTAGCGATGCCAGGAGCCCCTAGTAGCTTCTTGTTACTAGTGAAAATCCAACAGCATGGATGACGGACTGGCAAATGACATGGACATGAAATTATAGCACCTTACGTGGACTATAAGGTCAGGAATGCATCATCCGGATGTGGTGAAATCCAAGGTAATCTGGGACTCGTTCGCCTTTTCCGGACTACAAGTGATGGTGGCAATCAATCTGTCCAGCCTCAATCAAATAGGCCACGTTGACATTGCCTGATGCTCTCCTTCGCCACAATGCCAATAAAATGGCTTGCAGTATGGTAATGTCCACCTGACAGCCAACTGCAGCCACTTCACAACCGCATCTTTTGCTGAACCACTCCAACTTTGTGTGCATCATGTAATTTCACCAGAAAGCAATTTTCATTTTCAACTCGCAGCGGGTGCCACAAAGCATGGACATCGGACAATAGTTTTCACAACAGGTTTCACAAAATTCAGGCATGAATCCGAAATGCGTTGCGACCGAAGACCTGAAGTTGAGTTGAAACTGGGAGTGCACCAAAAGAGTCGCCGTTTTCCGAATGACAAGACATTAAGGCCTGTGCCAACCCCAGCTGTTTTTGACCTTTTTACAAAACAAGCAAAGAATACATGTTTGAATCTCGCACGGTTCCTTTTCACAGCAGCGAGTCAGTTCAAGGGCCCTATTCAGCCGAAACAGCAGCGGCGGTGCATCAACTGTACGCAATACACCCTGGCTACAATCGGTAAAATTCACACCCGTCTTATCTGCAGGTGTGTTGCGGGCTTTACAGTTCAAATCTGTACAAAGGCAGCCAAGCAAACTCGATTCTCCGTGGGGCCGTAAACCATGCCTTTCCATGTCGAATTCTCAAAACAAGTCATTGTGAAACTTCCTCATCTTCCATCTTGGCTCCCTTTTCGCATGCGCCACTGTTCTCGACATTGACAAGTCCACTTTCCAGTGTCTTGAGGAGGTAGTCTGGCCTCATGCTCTTGGTCAACGGGTCTGCCAATTGCTTCGACGTCTCAATCCACCTCAGGTGGTCACCATAGGGACTGTAGATCTCCGATGTTCTCTCGCCATTCACAGTCCACACTCCTTGCCTCAATGCAGCAAGTTCTATGCCAAGCCTTTTGTCTTGTACTTTTCTCGGAACCTCTGCCAGTAAATGGTCCGATAAGCTCCTGCAATCGGTGTAATACACATGCGCCATTCGTCTCTGAGTTTCCTCGTGCCAGTTCTTGAAGTCATCAAGTCGTCCGGTCAACTCACAGATCAGACATCGTAGACGATCTCCATGTTCGACTGCAGTTTGCAGAGCATATGCTTCTGCTTGCAATGTAGCACGACACACCCTTTTGAGGGTAGTTGAACCAAAGCTGATCAGATGCATTTTGTGACTGCCTTCCTTGAGGCTGCTCGCGTTCGTTATGTAGTGAATGCGGCCTTGCTGACTCTTAAAGCCCTCTTCGTTTGCGAAACTTGCGTCGCTAAACGTCACAACTGCCAAATCGCTCCAGTCAATCCAATCACTCTTGAAGGTGATCTGCAAGTCACTTCCTTGAAGTGCCAATTCAACAACCTTGTTGGCGTTCTTCAAGTCTTGCACTGTTGCCTTTGCGCTGCATGCACGTTGCATCTCATTCACACGGTAACAAAGGTCTGGTCTTCCATAACGTGCGACCCAAGCCAAGCTACCAACAACGCTCCTGAGGCTTGTCAACTCTTTCTCTGTCACCTTTTCCGACAGCTTCCGATGCTTGTCGATTTCGATCGGCTTCACTGTTCTGCAGTTCTCACTTGTAGAAATGCTCACGGAGTAGTCTTCGTGCTGTACGAACTGCCGTCCGCAGTATCGGAATCTGCCTGACTCGGTTTTGCCAATCGTGAACCTTTTGAGGATGCCTTCAATTGTCTTCTTGCCTTCATCAAGGTAGCAATACAACAAATCGTCGACATGCGTCGCGATCACGCCGATCAACTTTCCCTTGGGATTGTGCAAATAATTAGTACAATGCAGGTGTGATGCGACTGCACTTCAACCCGGCACTGGTGATCTCACCATTCATCCTCAAGTAAAAGCCTCTGCCTGCGTCGATCGTGCCATAGATCGGAAGGCGTGCAACCAGCATAGCGTCCGGTGGTACATCCGGACTTGGTATTCCACCACGTGGCTGCTTGAGCAACAGCAACCTCGTCATTGGCTGACTCTGGAAATACGCTGAGGAAACATCTGCCGCGTACAGGGTCACACGATGGCTTGATGCGAAGCTCGCAATCAACATGTGTCCTTCGGTCTCAGCTGTGGGGCTGTCGCAGCGGATGCCCTGTGCATCACGGCTCACTTGTTCGTGGTTTCCACAAGCGACTAGACGAGATCTGTTTTCAGGCTGATGTTCAGGCGTGCCTGTCAAATGAGCCTGCTTATCCACATCTACCCATTGCATGGGGATGGGAACATGCCCTTCTTGAAGCAACTCTTCCAACTCCCTGCCTCGAATGGGCATAGCAGCATTGAAGTTCCTATATTTGCTCCACTCTGCACGACGTGCGTCCAAGATGCGGGCCTGCATCTCAGGGGTGCAGCGGTCGTACTGCAGCGTCCTTGCCACTTTGCCAACATGCGTCTCACTGTTTTCTCCAAAGCGCTGAGCTACGAAGGCTCGAAACTCTGCAGCGTCAAGTTCAGTGTCGTCAACGGCGGCCATGGCGATCAACGGGTGTTTTACCCGTGTAAAGACAGTGAAACCTGTCCACGCGCGAGAGTCAACATCGTCCATGCCCGGCATGGACTCGCTGGTCGCTCGACTGCCGTCTTCATAGACTTTCCTGGTCACGCGTCTTCCTCCGGATCCTTCCGGAACATCTCCGTCATACAGCGGATGGAAGTCATGGAATCTCCTCTTGTTGTGAACACGAATTGCATGACTCTCAGAGATTCTCCAATGGTCTTCATTGTCAACCAATGCAAGCATGACCTCATCATCACCGACAATGCCTCCGGGGGTCATCGGAACTGCGACTGCGCTTCCGCTTGCGCTTGCAGATGATCGGGCAGCTTTGCCCGTCTCATCTTCTGCTTGTGCTTCTCTCTTCTGTCCCTTCTTAGGGCTTGCCTCTTCGTCCATCATTCGGATGTACTTCTGCTGTCCCAATGTCACTGCCTCCGGGAAAACCGGGATGTTGTTCAAAATGGAGTAGGCCAAAGATTCACTCTCATTGGCTGATCTGAGTTTTCCAGCAGCACACAAAACAGGAACACCTTCATGTAGCAACCAGATGCCACTATGCGGGTCAATGCCAATCACACGCGAAGCAGTGGACCACACGGTTCCACCTTGCTGGGTGTCACGACGGTAGACCACGAGGTCTCCAACCACAAATGACTTCTTGTTCTGGACTGCTGCATTCCTGGTCAATGCTCTTGCAACACGGGAACTTGTATCCAAATGAATAAATGCCTTTTGTGCAGCCATACGAGATGCATGACACAAATGATAGCTTGCTGCAGGGTCAAGCTTGTTCTCCAAGATGCCTAAGTTTCCTGCTTCATCCATGTCTGTCACAGATCCTGGAACTCTTGGGTTCCTTCCCAGGACCCATTGTGCTGGAGAATAGCCTTGGACTCTCTGCATGTGATTCTTCACGGCAGTACATTCACGCAAGCATGTTTCAAATGCATTACGGCCAACGGCTTCCATGTCATGGATGGTCTTCCTGAGGATTGCCTTCAAGATACCTTGATGCCTTTCAACCTTGCCAATAGCAGACGGTGTCTCCAATGGTGCATAGAAGATCTCGACACCGTGCGAAGCGAACAGCTTGGATACCTCACCTCGGTTGTGGACACCTCTATCCATGATTGCAGCCTTTGGAAAACCTGCCCAACTGATCCATCTACGAAGAATGGCTTGTGCACAGGCCTCTGACGTTGGCATACCTCCACCTTCTTTGACAACCTCTGACAAATGGAATCCTGTCGAAATGTCCAGCATCGTGAGGATGCTGTACTTGTTCCCTGCATAGTCCTTCATTTCTGTGACGTCAAGACCAAGCATGGCATTGAACTCATACTGGAAATTACTATTTCCTACCGGATGGTCACGGGGGCGTGGTGCAGTGTCTTCGCAGGACTGACAACGGACAAGACGTGCGGCCTCGATCAACTCCTTGCTTGCCTTACCTGCCTTTAAAATGTTCTTCAAAGTTGACGGTGCGGGATGTCCGAACTGCCGATGCAAGCGACGAATTGCAACGCGAGTCCTCTGGGGAAGAGCACGCCACAACTGTCTCCGCTTCTGTTCCGTCATGTCGGCTCCCGGCAATGCAAGTTGATCTAGCATGAGTTCTTCCTGTTCTCTTGCCGACAACGGTTTTCCATCGTCTTGTTTGGTTTCCCGGAGAACTCCCTCAATGTCACTATCCTCAATTTCAGAGATGTCTTCAAGTTCGTCTGCAACAAAACATGTCCGTGCAAAATGCTCCAAATAAGTCTCTTCTGACATAGTGTTCAACATCTCTAGGAGTTTTGCCGATTTCGCGTCCTCAAAACACTTTGGGATCATGTTCTCTCCGCACCAACCTTCCAGCGCCTCCAAGAGCTTGGGGCTTTGCGGGCCTGCCAGAGCAAACTCTAGGTCACCACCAAGACAAATGGAATGCTCAACTGATATCTCGAGAAGTGGTGTAAAGAGAAGAAGGTTGCAGCCATACATGTCAACTTCCATGAGCATATCATTCCAAATCCTCCTGGGGTCCGTGTTCTCCAAAAACAATACAACCAAACCAGGGATCCTGTTCGAAATGTGCTTGATGACCTCCTTGCGGGTCTTCACCCAACTTGCACCTACATCGAATACCCTTGCACTCTGGGGTGCATTGATCAACAAGTCATCCTTGACAATGACCATGTGTTGGACACTCAGCGGGTTGTTCGAAACGAGTGCATGCAGGACTGAATCATTCTCTTGCAAGGTCTGCAGGCCGGCGACAAACACTTGTTTTCTCCCTTGTTCATGGTTCGATGATCCAGAGCTACGAATGCGTGACCTTCACTGTCGGAGCTCAGTTCGATCTCTCCTTGGAAGCGGCTCATGATGAACTTGTCTCGGTCGAGCACCTCACGCGAGCTCATCGTCTGACAACTCCTCTTTGGGTGCGTTTGACGGATCGATAGCTGTGCAGCCATGGAACGGTTCAACAGGTTCAGCATCACGTGTATCTTCCATGCTCTCCTCCTTGGGAATCTCATCTGCCGGTTCCACGGGTTTTGCCATCTCTGTAGCCTCTGTCTTCGTGCGCTT